AGCTTAGTAAAGTAAAAGTATATTATTAAACCCCTAATACTAAAATACTTATTATTATAAAGGTATATAAAACTTAAAAATATTATTTTATATATACTTAAAATAAAGTAAAAGTTATTATTAATTATTTAAATTATAATTTCCTTATTAAAAAAAAAAAACTCTTAAGTAAGTAAATATTATAGCTATAAAAGCTAGCCTTATATAACTTTAAGATTATATATAGACTAAGTAAGGCTAATTTTATTAATAGGCTATTTTATTAAGTAAACTTATATTAGTTATAAAATAAAAAGTAATTATTTTTTAAATATTTTATACTTTTTATAAATAAATTTTATATTAAATTATACTTAGAAAATAAAAAAATATAGGAAAAAAAACCTTACCCTAAATTAATAATATAGGATAATTACTTAAACTTAAGGTTATACTTTAACTTAACTCCTTAAGCTAAAAAGGATTTACTAGGAAATAAGCTTTATCTTTAATATATAACCTATAGGCTAGCTAGATTTATATAAATAATATATAAAAGCGCTATTATAATATTAAAGAAATTACCTAAAACCTTATAAAAGGTATTACTTATTATATAGTAAGGGAATACCTAAGTATAAGAGTTAATAGTTAAATATAAAGCCCTAGGGAGGACTTAAGGTAGATAAAGTATAAATAAGAAATATTTTCTTTAATATAAGGCTAGAATTTTTATATTTTATAATATAAAGTAAAAGATATTAATTTTATTTTATAATAATAAAATAGCTAGCTACTTAGGTATTAGTAAAAGCTATATATAAATAGCCTAGACTTATTTTTAGTAAAATATAAAAAGAAATTTAAAAAAATATATTAATATTTATTATATATATTAAATAATAAAGCCTTATTATTATAAATTTTATAAAGAATTAATAATATTACTTATATTAATATAGCCTTAGGAGGAGTTTTTAATAAACTTTATTATAAAGCTTTTTAAAATTATAAAATAAAGGAAAACTTATAATTTAATATTTATTATTATTAATAAATTTATAAAATATATATTATATTTTTTATACTTATAGTAAATAATTATAAATAAATTAGTTAATAAGTTCTTTTATTATATTTTTAAACTATATAGAATTTTTAAAAAAATAATATTAGATTAAGGAAGCTTTTTTACTAATATATTCTAAAGGATTTTTTATTATTTACTAAGTTATAAAAAAAAACTTAATATTATTTTTTACCCTTAGATAAATAGCTAAATAAAATAGTAAAATTAAAACCTTAAATATTATTTTAGGGCCTTTTATAATAAGAATTAGCTTAATTAGCTATATAAACTTTTACTTATAGAATTTATATATAATATAATAAAGTATTTAGTAACTAGGTAAATATTAATATATTTACTACTTAACTATAAGCTTAACCCCCTTTTTATTAATAATAATAATTTATAATATATAAATAAAAATATTATTAATTAAGTTAATAAAATAGTTAAAGATTAAGAAAATATAGCTACTACTTTATAATACTTTAGTAATTTATATTATAAATAATATAATAAGGGGAGATAAAGGAAGGTATTTAATATAAGAGATTAAGTATTAGTATTAATTAAGAACTTTAGACTTAGGAAACTAAATTAGAAGTTAATACTTAAATATATAAGACTTTACTAAATTAATAAAGTTATTAATATAAGCAACTTTATTTATTAACTAAAGTTTTTAACTTTAGTTAAAATATACTTAATATTTAATATTATAATTCTTAAGGAATTTAAAAGTAAAAATAAAGTTTTTAAAAAGTTAAAAAATAACTTTTTTATACTAAAGAAAATATATAATATTAAAAAAATTATAAAATATAAAAAAAAAAAAAGAGGCTATATTTATTATATAAAATAAAAGGGCTATAGTAAAAAATATAATTCTTAGGTATTAAAGAAGGACTTTATAAATTAAAATTTTATAAAAGAATATAAAAATAACTTTTAATAAAACCCTATAAAGTCCTAAGGTATAAATAATATTTTAGCTATATTAGAAGTAGTTTAGATAATAAAAAGCTTAATATATATAATCTATAGTTATTATATAGCTAAAGTAAGGACTAGCTTAAAAAGCTTACTTAAATATATAAGATTTACTATAGAGGATAAAGTAAGAAAAAACTTATAAACTTCCTAAAGTAGCTAAAATAGTAAAAAGTTTAGTAAATATAAGCTATAATAATAAGGGTATAATATATAAGTATTAGTTTAAAGGGCTTATATAAATATATAAGATTTATAGTAAAAGATAAAGTAAGGAAAAATTTATAAAATTCCTAAAGTAGCTTAAATAATAAAAAGCTTAGTAAATATAATTTATAAATAATAATATAGCTAAAGTAAGGATTAGTTTAAAAAACTTACTTAAATATATAAGATTTATAGTAAAAGATAAAGTAAAAAAAAACTTATTTATTATAGAAGATAAAGTAAAAAAGAATTTATAAATTTTCTAAAGTAGTTAAAATAGTAAAAGCTTAGTAAATATAATTTATAAAAGTAGTATAGCTAAAGGTAAAGTTAGTAATATAATATATAAGTATTAGCTTAAAGGACTTACTTAAATATATAAGATTTATTTATAAAGCTTACTATAATAAAAGATAAAGTAAAGAAGAAATTATAAAAGCCTTAAAGTAACTTAAATAATAAAAAGCTTAGTAAATATAATTTATAATAATATATAATATAATATATAAGTATTAGCTTAAAGAACTTACTTAAATATATAAGATTTATTTATAAAGCCTTAGTAGTAAAAGGAAGTAAAAAAAAACTAAGGAAAACCTTAAGTAAGAATATAAATTTTATAAAAAGGGAGAACCTTGTGAAAATATAAGGAATTTCTTATTTATATTTATTTACTTTTTATTATTTTTTTTTAATTTCTCTTATTTTTATTTATTTTCTTTAATTTTTTTTACTTTTTTTTAATTTTTTTTACTTTCCCTTATTAAAGCTATTAGTAAATACTATAATTATTAAATATTATATTAAGATATTATAAAAGTAAAGGGGTTATAAAGTATACTTTATTTATTAATATTATTTATAGTAATATTATTAATAATAAAGGTTATCTTAGCTTATAATATATTAGCCTAGGAATTAAGGTAATCCTAAGTTATAGTAATAAAAATAGTATTTTAAGCTTAGCTAGGTATAAGCTAGGATTATAAAGAAAGTTAATAAAGGGTAATTTAGTAAAGCTAAAGGGAATAAACTAAGATATAAAATATAAGTATAGCCTAGAGATTATATAATAAATTTATAATATTTAGCTAAACTTAAGTATTTATAATTTTATAAATATAATATAAATAGGGTTATTATACTACTACTATAGTATAAGTTTAATAAGCAGGAGTTATTAATATAGGACTTAGCTTTACTTTATTATAAGCTTTTTTATAGTTTACTTAAAGTATAGTAATATAGGCCTAAGTATATATTAATACTTATTATATAGCTATTATAAAATTAGCTTACTAAGTTAAGGTTATTAAACTTAATTTTATTAATTAGGTTTATATATATAATTTTATTAGTAATTAATATAGAAATATAAGTATTATTATAATTATTATAATAAAAGTATTTATTACTATTATTTAAAAAGGAGTAAATAAAGCCTTAGTAAAATAAACTTAGGAAATAAGGCTATATATTTAATATATTATAATAATATTTTATTATATTACCTAGTTTTTAATAATTATAATAATATATATAATATTTATAAATATAAGGCTTATATTAGGTTTTAGTAAAGAGAAAAAGGGCTAAAATAAAATATAATTTACTTATTAGCTTTTAATAATATAATAGGGGGAGGCGTAAGCATAGGTATAGCTATAGCTATAGTTATTACTATAGTACTTAATATTAGCTTTTAATAAAGTATAGTTAAAAGGAGTATTATAGTAGAATTATTAATAAAAAAAGAAAAATATAATTATAATAGTAATAGTTAAAGACTTTATAAAAAGAAAAAGAAAAATACTTTTTTTATAATTTAAGTATTATAACTAATAGTTATAAACCTACTTTATAGAATTATTATTATAAAAGGTAAGTTATTTTATAATAAATAGCTTTTATATAGCTTTCTACTTTTATTTACTTAGGGATTATATTTTATATTATTATAATACTAAATAAAAGTTTTTTATTTATAGCTAAATTTTACTATAATTTATATAATAAAGAGTTAGGGCTAATACTTTAATAATACTTTATAAAAAAGTATAAAAGAAAATTATAAGGAATTATATAAGGGTATACTTTAAAAAAAAAAGGGTAGCCTATTAGGGGCCTAAGGAAGAAAGAGGTATAATAAAGCTATAAAGTTAGTAAATATTACTAAAGTTACTGCTTAAAGATTAGTTATAGCTAGGATTTACTATATAAAGGAGCATAAATCCCCTTAGTTTTAAAGGAGGTTAAAAATAAATATAGTTATTATATACCTCCTAGCTACTTTATCCCCTTTATAACAACTAGAACCTCTCTTTAACTTTATTATTCTCTCGTACACTGCCGCCTCTGACACATGTTATCGCTTTGCCACGTGGCAGTCGCATATCCGATCTGTTACTCTGCCTCTTACAAAACTCTGTGCCTGGCGCTAAGAAAACGCCGGCTTCACATCTCCAAGAGACAATCTCAAGCCGGCTCTTATCTCTAGGCGATGGGCTTATCTGGAAGCGACGAGCATTTCAATGGATACATTCACCGATCCTCGTCTTGCATCCCACGTGCTTCTTATAAAGACATGAATCAGTATCAGGAATCCTGAAAAGATGTGACGTGACGACGTTGTCAATTGATACAAGCCTCTCATAACTTACAATCACATCAAGTTCATTCTCACCTCTTCTTAGCTCTCATGAGACGCTGCTAGCCCCAGATCAACGGCATCACATCATCTCGTACCTAAGCACCAATGTCCACCACCGCATCAGCAGTCACCACGACTATCACCACGCCTCAGCGGCCGCTCTACCCCATCGGTATCCCCGAGAAGTTCTCATCCGACGGCGTCGTCCACCGCTTCCCCGGAAACACCACCGTCTGCCATGTCCCACCCGAATCTCCTCTCCAGCCCGGCATGAACGCCCTCCACGCCTCTCTCAGCTCCCATCCCGTGCTCTCCAAGCTCGTCCATCTCCTGCCAAAACCTTCATGGCACATGACCGTCGTCGATGGCGTCCGCGACACGGAATGCGAGCCCGGCATGTGGCCCCCCGGGATGGAAAAGCTTCCCCTGGACGAGTGCACCCGCGAACTCTCCACGAAGCTGAGGGCGGTCGGCCTAGAGCTGGAAAAGGAGGGCCTCGCACCGCCGTACAAGATGCGAGTCCGGGGCTTTGATCCCGCTGTTATTGGCATCGGGCTCGAGATTGAGGGAGCAAGCCCGGAGGAGGAGAAGCGTCTACGACGGCTGCGAGATAGAATCAGCGATGCGCTGGGCTTCAGGGCGCCGAACCACGAGACATACGGCTTTCACATCACCATGGCGTATCTGATGAGGCACATTGATGGCGAGAACAGGGATGCGCTGAACAGGGTGTTTGCGCAGCATTTGCCGGCGCTGCAGCGAGAGTTTGACCTTGGGTCGCTGGAGTTTTGCACGTTTGAGGACATGTATGCTTTTCACAGGCTGTTTTATCTCGGAGAGGCAAGAGTAATTGGCTGCTCAAAGTTGGTGTTGTACACATAGTCACATACATATAGACATGTGCCTTTTGAATGAACTCATAAACCTGAGCACGTCTAACGCACATATTTCAACCACAGCTCTTTTCAATATCAATTGCAACCAAATAAACACCCTGTTCATCTCATCTGCGTCTTTTTGTTATAAATCAATTCAATAGAGTTCAACAGTCATCTCATATAAACCACATCTGAACTACCACCAAACAGTTACAACACTGTCTCACACAACCCCGAGTCATGTTAGCTTCCACCAACACAATTTACCCGCCAGCTCTAAAAACATGGAACAAAACAAGTCTCCGAATAACCCCTTTGCCTAAATAGCCCCCCAAGCGTGCTTCTTAGTCTTCTCATCTTTGGCCGCTCGGCTCCAGATAAGTGCCTCGCCTGGAGATGAGCAAGACACCCTTCCAACAACTGCCCCGACTCGCCTCTTCGGAGATTATACCGAGCATCGTCTCTCTATTCTCCAGAATTATATCCCTTTGAGTGCGAAGGGGTCCATCTAGAGTATCTTCCTAGGATTATGGCTAATCAAATCGCCACAAATTGACACTACATCAGCTGCTGCCAAAAGCCTCAAAGGCAAGTCTTGAAATTTAGATGAGTACGTTGATATACTTGACATTAATGATTAACGCGTCGACCAGGCGACATTTTTGCTAGTAAATCAAGTCCTCTATTGTACCTAGCCTATATAGAAACATACCTAGTGGATACAGGTATATAGTTGGGACTGCTTCTCACTTACAGGGATGGAATTCCTTGATTTAAAGTCCTAATAAGATTTACCACGCTGTCAGATCTGCCATTGTGACCGGCTTGCTAAGGCACAGACTATTCGAATTGGCATGGATTAGAGGCCGGGACTAGCATTGCTAGGGTCGCCGGTCTAGACTCTATTTCCCCAGGTTTTCTTTTAGTACTTGATGTTAGTCAACGCTCGTCTTGGTGTTTTGGCACTACAATACTTTGCACTACCTTGCGTGTGTACGTGAGGAGTTGAGAAGGTATTGGAGGAAATCCTATAAGAGGTGCTGAATGCCAGTTACACTAATGACAGCACAGCATCACAACATCTCCCACTCTTCCTAAATCTTCGTCTTTATCTGCTCAATTTCAAAGATATAGAAGAGACAACGAGGAAGATTCAACCCTAGCACTGCTCCATCAGCATCTTGCCATCCTCCTCCTCTCCATCACAATGGGCCGCCCATCCGAAGACCCTCCCGTGGAAACCCTCAAACCCCAAGCCTACGACATCTCCGACGCCCAAGATGCCACCACCCAAGAACACGACCTCACCTTCTTCCAAGCCCTCTCGCTCTACCCAACCGGCGTCTGCTGGAGCATCGCCATGTCCACCGCCGTCGTCATGGAGGGCTACGACACCAAGCTCATCGGCACGCTCTTCGCCCAGCCGACCTTCCAAAAGGCCTTTGGCCACGAGGTCAAGCCCGGCTCGTACCAGATCTCGGCCCCCTGGCAGACGGGCCTGAGCAACGGGTCGACGGCGGGCCAGTTGCTGGGGCTCTTGCTGGCGGGTTACGTGAGCGAGCGGTTTGGCTTTCGCAAGACGATGCTTGCGGGCATGACGGGTGTTATTGGGCTCATCTTTATTACCTTTTTTGCTCCTAGTTTGGCCGTCCTCGAGGTTGGACAAGTCTTGTTCGGTAAGCGGCGTGTTCCTGTTTGTTGTATGAGAGGCAACTGCTCACTAACATGACCACCAGGTATCCCCCTTGGACTGTTTCAGACAATCCCCGTTGTCTATGCTCTTGAAATATCGCCTCTTTGCCTACGTGCCTACCTCACCAACTACGTCAATTTTTGCTGGGTATGACCTCTAAAGATCCCATAGATCCCATAAACCATATCAAAAAAAAAAAAAAACCCCCCAAGCTAACATCTCCAAAGGCCTTTGGCCAACTCATCGCCACCGGAACCCTCCGCGGCGTCCTCCCCATAACAACCCACTGGGCCTACAGAATCCCATTCGCAGTCCAGTAAATCAACCCGGGGGGGGGGGGGGGGGGGGGGG